GGGGGGACTAATTATCACATGGATCACTTGTGGGGAATATCTTGAATGCACACACACACACACTGAGTAGTACTGAGCTGTGGGATCACAAAGGCTTGAAACGCTGTTGACTGATGGGGCCCAGTCCAATGAACTACATGGTAAATCATGAGCCTTTTGGCTTTGGACTAACATCATGCATCGTTTGTAGTTAGTATAACCACATGCCAAAGTGCTGTTTTTACAAGTATGTTTACGGAGTACCTGTGCTAAAACTTGCAACCGTTTTAAAAAAGGTAAAATGCATCATTCTAGATTAACTTAGTCTATGGATACCTGTACTAATTTGTCTATATGATAAACCGTGTTTATTTCAAGGTCAGTGCTTTCAAGTTTGCCCTTCCATGTCTCAGGGAGAGCAGGATCTGACAGTAAGGAGTGAGGGAAAGAACTGCAAGGGGAAGAAGGTGTGGTGGGGGTACGAAAAGGAAGGGGGCTACCTGACCCAGATTTATTCTCCCTGATGTAGCAGTGGAAAGAGGGGCAAATTCAAATTCAAGCTAAGCCTCCAAATATAAGGGGCCGTCATATATGTGAGTAAATACAGTATATATAAAACAGAAGCTACTGTACTAAGGCACTTATACTTAGTAAAAGTTTTTTGCATTCTAAAGGAATTTTGAAGGTTGCTGCTACTGAAGAGCAGGAATTTTGGAAAGGGTAAAATTACTCCAAAAAAAATCTTGGTAAAGGCTTCCTCTTGCTTGTTTGGGGTTGACATTCATTGGCAACAGATACTAGTAACATATTGGAAAATAAAAACATTAACAAAGCTATCCTTAAAAAAAACAAACAAACAAACAAACAAAAAACAACTTAGAACTGTTCCTATCAAATTCGACGTCTTGTCTTTTCATAACTTGACAGAGAGTATGTATAGACATTTGCTCTTCCAGGAAAAACTCTCCTAGGAGACATTTAACCCTGGCTGTCCCCAGCTTATTCTTCTCCCAGGACAGCCATTTTCCCTCTGGGAGAAACATCCTGAGCATCTGTACTCTTGTGGTTTCTCCTGGGAGACCAGCAACTCTCTCAGGAAAAACTGAGCATCTGTACATGATCATGCAGCAGTCTAGCTAACACTCAACTGAAATAATTTAAAAAAACCTATACACATAAGTATGGTGTTACAACTGGCGCACACAAAAAAAATGCACAGCACACAGTCTGCACACAGCACAAAATGTCAAACATGCTTTTTGGTTTTAGTATAAAAGCAGAAGTGTAGGGTCTGAAAGAAAGCTTACCTTCTAAAAGGTGAGAAAAAAGAGTAAGAAACAAACAGAAGAACAAAAACAAAGATGCATAAAGTAGTCATGATAAAGAAATAGTAGTGGTAAAATACTTCAGATGCAAAATAAGGGTCAGGACACCAATATGTAGGTCGACGTGGTTTAATCCCTTGCTCAAATTTGAAGTTAGGTTTCCTGAAACAACTAATGGTGAACTAACAGGTCTTTATCCCTAAAGATATTTTTTGAAATAGTTTGTTGTTTGCTGTTGTGCTACTATTCCCCCAAACCCTATCAGCAACCTATTTAAGGGGCCATTTCTTTGTCACTGTAGTTACCCAGGATGTAAACACATATAGGAGGCCTTCTCCAAGCTGCCAACATTTCCTTCTGCTGAGCAGCAGACATGGGACTGAACTGGCAACAGAGACATTTTAAAAGTTGACAAGAAAAGAAAGGAGAACCACGCCAGCACTCGCACGTTCCATCTGCATGACAATAATTTGGTAAACATTCCATCTAATCAGACCTCAGATTACACCCTCTCTCTTCCAAAATGACCGCACAGCCCAGAAAGCCCTTTCTGGAGGAGACAAGTAAGGACAATAGACAGTAACACTGGGTGCAGACAGAAAAGACAATTTTCACCTGATATGGCCACAGGACGTGGTCTATAACCATAACCAAATACAAGTGCAAAACTGCAGACTGCTTCAAAATGCCCAATCTGGCAAAAATCTGAACCCTCGTTTAATTGCATGAGGTTTCAGATGAAGACATTTCAAAACATAGCATCTTCTGTAATTTGCGTCTGCGTTGCCTGCTAGCCTCTGAGCTGTTTTCAGAAGGGAGAGGGGGAGCAGACAGAGTTCAGTCTAGGGTTTTTCAGCCTCTCCTGGAGGATGGGGCAGATGTATTGTAGGCCCCCCTACCCCGGCAAGGTGGGTGGCTCCAATTCACCCGCCCAGCGGGGGGAACCCCTAGGAGCTCCCTCTCCCCCTCCCATTCTGAGAACAGGGACAGGCTGGGACTGGAGGAGGGGTCATCGCTAAGGGAAACAGGCTGTATGCTGGAAGCCAGCAGCTAGATTCCCTCCCTCCTGGAACCAACAGTAAACTTCTGTTTGGCCTGGAGATCACTGCAACTCGGAACACTTCCTGCAATGCATTCTCAGTTACAGTGGGGAGCTGCACTTTTGTCTGCATGCGCTACCTCAACACTCAGGTAAATGCAAAAGTAAAAGATTTTCTCAGTTAATCACCACTTGTGGAACTTTTCACCTTGCTTCAAACAAAAACTTCAGTCAACATGACTGTGAGTTAACTTTTTTCCTAACACTTACAAAAGCGACTGGGTAAATAATGGGTTATGAGTACTTAAGTATTAAACCAGTTTTAGGCATGATTTCTATAGATTGAGAACCACTTTTGTAACCAACTTATTCCCATTTTGCTAGATGAGGTATGACTGTCACATGCTTCCCTCCTTTGGGAAGACTGCACTGCATTTTACAATTATCTTGTGAAGCCAAAGAAAGAAACCAAATTTAACATAAATCACAATCTCTTGAATGCTATCAGAGAGCACTTCAAATAAGCTGTTGGAACAAGTTCACATAATGTTCTTTTATAACCTTTCTATTATATCAAATCAAGTAAGAGTAACCAGTCGACAAGATTTTTTTGTTTTGTTTTTGTAAGAAAAAGGTAATAGCAATAACAGAAATAATATTATCTCAAAGACAAATTAGCTCCAATGATAATCTTTATGATAATCTTTTATCTTGATTCTCTTATGGTATGGTATCACACAGTGTAGCAAGATAAAATCTATAGACTCTATAATCAAATAATCTGAAAAGCATCATTTTATAGTTGCTATGGTAGGTCAAGCAGAATTTCCAAAAGGAGTAGTGAACATACCTTGCTAGCCCAGGCATCCTCATCCCAGGAAGTGAGTTGCAACACACGGATGATTTCATTTATCTCAGCACTCATCTTCTCTACTGTGAAGTTACGGTTTTTCAAGGCCTCTTCTATCCCTTGACTTTTACAATTTTTAGTAGTTACAAAAATCTTCATAGCTGTGAACATTGTACAACTGATTAGTAAACCACCAAAAGATCCAGTTCTTAAACAAGACACTCTCCCACTGTTTCATTCATGAACAGTACGTAATAGGATTGAATAAAACCATGGAGTCTGAGGCCTTTAAGATGCGTTCATTGGTATAATTAGGTCAGTCAAGTGCAGTATTTCAGAAATATATACTTTAGCTCACCGGTTCTAAACCTTTTTAGACTGAAGGTACCCCTCAGAAAATCCAGCTCTGTGTTTCCACTCATTTTTTGATTAAAGAAAAATAATGGAGCAATTCATGTTGCAAAGAACTCAGAAAGGCCACAACGGGTAAGAAGGAATGGGTGCCTGTAGATATGTGGGGCTCCTGCTCCGAAGCACTGTAATTACAGCGTATTCAAGCAATTGAGCATGCTAATTGCCATGTTCCAGCAGCCTTGGTGTCTCATGTATTCAGCATCCCCATGCTTCAAAACAGCAGAGAGAGCACTTTAACTACAGCTTGTTGAACAAACTTTAGTTAAAAGCATCCCCGCTGCCATTTTGAAGAGCAGGATGCTGAATACACAAGATGCTGGAAGCACTTTAAATTAGAGTGGTTCCCAAGAGTCGCTCTAATTAAAGCACTGCCCCATCCCTGGAGCACATGTAAAGACTCCCACAATTTTTGACACTCTGGATTCCTCTTTGAAAACTCTGGGTTTATACTGTGAATCATGTGTAAGTGTTTGCATACCTAACAGTATTCATATTGTTCAGCACTCCAGAGCACTCCTAAAAGGATCTTGTAACTCTTCAGGGGGCTGAGGGTTTAGAACCACTGCTCTAGTTTCTAGCTCATGCTAAAGCATACGCTGTCCTAACTTCACTGTTCTTGCCTCCCAGCTAAGTAGATTACACTGCCAAATACCACTACCACCACCTCTTAGTTTTCCCATGCAGATGCTTCTGTTTCTCTCCTTTTCCTTTTTTGCACTGATGTATCAAACAGTCAGCAGCAATACAAAATATACCATAAACCTATAATTTTCAGATTCTTGTGCGTTCCTACACCCATCTTTTCAGTTAAAATTCATGCCAGGGCAATAGCAACAGGAAAACCCCATGCACATTACTAAGATAATCACAGGAATGCACTAGACCAATACAGACACAGGCACTCTTGTCACAAAATGTTTCACCTTGCCTGAACATTTAAAATCAAAGCCACATTAGACAATCAACGTTTATAGCCCCATTTCTTCATCTCAGGCTACCTTTAAATTTTCTGGAGTCATCTTTACAGACTAGAACAGAAGCACAACGCTATAGGGGTGATTAGTAGTACCTCAATTTCTGCAGATGCAAAGGCAGTCCGATTCCAAAACCTGTCCAGTGCTTTGATTTAACTCAATTTAACATCAAGAGGAAGGTAGGATTTGAAAGGACATTACAAAGGCAAAGCCTGCTATAGTCTACTTGTACAACTTTGTCAAAACCCCTTCAAACCAAAATTCTATTATTCAGACAGCTACTCCATTGTGGATCTCCAAGCAGACAACTTTAGATATACTTTATGGTTTGTGTCATACACAAAGCATGTACTAGGGACTAGAAAGAAAGAGAGAGTAATTTTGTACTACATTCTTAAAACAAAAAACAGTGCTTAAACCTGCCACCCCAACTATAACACTTGAAAAAAATGAAACCTGGCACTGGAGAGAAGGAAAACAAAATCTGTTCACAAGTGCAAACAACTAATAGGCCAAGGTACTCTCAACATTATGTACTGCTATATCTTCTGGGTAAGATAGTCAGTCTCCCTAGTTGTAGCTCAGACCAGCACTCCCTGTGGCAGAGGACAGGAGTTTTGACAGAGGGCCAAGCTACTTCAGCAATGGGACTGGAAGTTCTAGACCCAAGAAACAGACAAGTGGAGGCCTCCTCCCTTTTAGGCTGTTCCCAGAATAAAATGCATCAGAAGCTTAAGTGTGGCAGGAATAGGTTCCATTTTCCCCCACCTTGCAAGTGTGCATGTGTGTGTGTTGAGGGGGAGGGAACAAGAAGATCTGTGAGGGGTTTAATTTGCTTTGTTTTTAAAGTGTATACATGTCTCAGCCTTTGACAGCAGCATCTAGACTACACTGGTGTGAGGCCCATTATGAACAGATGCTAAAAAATGTTAGGTCAACCATACAAACATTTTTTCATATAAATGCATTAATGCAAACAGCTATTTTAAAATATTTATTAAATGTAATACTGCAGTACATGACATGCATGGCATGTAAACACAACTCGTATAAATAGTATAGAGTTAATTTTTGCAAGTTATTTTAAGTTGCAAGTGCACAAAACTTAAAATGGGTAAGCTGGTGAAATAGCTTCTCTTCCCACCTCCAAGTTAGTGACAAATAAACCAAACACCTAAATATTTCCAGTCAATCTAAAAGGGACGTAAAGGCTGCTATTTTAATGGACAAAACACAATGCCATTCAAATCTGCATTATACATATGCATGTAATTGTATTAAATAGTCTGACCAAGTACCTGAAATAAGGACTGGCAATAGCTCCTTCACAGTGTTCATGGAATTCACCAACATGACTCTGTGCTCCTGATGAGTCAATTCCTGTTGTCTTTCATCAATCATTTTTGCCATTTTTGTCATTCCTAGATCAGAAGAGTTAATTCAAGTAATTAAGCTACGAATACTGTTTTTCCCTATAGTTATGAATATTCTGCAAGGAAGTCTAGCTTCCCACAGTTGAGCTTTCCAAACAAAAGCCAAAAACCTTAACAAGGCACAACAACTTTTAACCACATTTCAGTTGTTTCAGGGAAACTATACATAGTTTCTATCTGAAATTCAACCTAGAATATAGGCCTCAAGATTCTTAAGCCTTTTTGTTCTTCTTAAAAGACTAATGATACAAATGAGCTATACAGATATAGAATAAATGAATAGCTGACTTCAGAGAAGACAGTCAACTCATCATCTTATGACAAGATGATTTACTACTTTTTCCTCCTTTTACTTTAAGTCTCATTTAGATAATGGAGGATGGGATCAGCCAGTATCAGGGACGCATGGTTTGCTGCCTTTAGAAAATACTTGTCTGGAAGTTTTACTAGTATTATGGCATCCATTATGACAGAACAAATAAATACACAGCAAGTAGAATTACCCTCATTCTAAAATATTGTATACTATAATAGTATATTTACTCCAGAATAACATGTTATTTATTTATTTATTTATTTGAGGAGGAATATATGGTTCCCCCAGTAGTTCCCGATCACTTGAAAATGTGATGACTGATATATATTCTACTGTGGTCCCCACATAAATCTTAACTGTTGAAAGTATATTTACTCCACAATAACATGTTTAAGGATTTAAAAAACATGCCATGGAAAGCTGACATGGTTTTGAGGGTTTATACAAACTATACTAAACATTCTAAAGAGCACATAGGTGAGACCAAGACATCTATTTCAGGGTTGCCAATAGCAGAAAACTAAACTAACAGTAAATATATGCAGGTTGAATTTAGAGGTAAAATGTGAGACTAGTGGGATAACACACACCCAAACACAAACCTACACACACTTCCTGGTTTCAAAAATAAAATACTGGTCAAATATTTACTACCCAACTATAAACTATATAAGAAAGGACAGCTTGTGTCACAGAAGTATAATACTGCTACTCTACAGAACATAATGATCACAAATTTCAAGTGTTTCATAATCATCTGAGTCAAGCAAGTATCTTTCAAAATAGAAAAAAAATGCAAGTGGGAACTTTAAGATAAAAAGTAGTCCACAGGTACAGCAAAAGAAACAACCTATTGACTCTACAGGTTTACAAGGGAACAAGGTGGACATTGGGAAAATATCTACCTCAGATTCAGGCAGCAAAGATCCAGACACTATCAGAGAACAAGATGTCCAAGAGAGAGACAAAACAAAGCAATTAAAATCACAAGCTAACCAGAGAGTTGATTTTATCCAAAAGATAAGAACTCAGCAGAAGACCTTCTACCAAAAACATGCAATGTTTAGTAAATCATGGATGACTGCTAGAAAACAAGGGCTGAACTTAATTATACAAAAAAGATTTAAAAGATATTTCTGCGTGATCTGGCAATTACAGGTCAGTAAGGTTTACTTATGTATCAGGAAAACTGGAAGGGAAAAAGAACTCTAAAATACCTAGATGGACATGATGAGAACACATTTGGTAGTGGGGGTTTTTCAAGCAACAACAAAAAAAGAAATCAAGCCCCAGAGAGATGGCATGTTTATCACATTACACCAGTTTAACAGTCTTATCACCAGTGCAAAGAAATAGCGAACAGATAGCAACGAGAAGCTTCTAAACTAGGATAACTTCATCCAATCTGGTGCTGAATTATCCCTGAAAGAACAGGGTAAAAGTCTAATGGTACAAAGTTATGTCAATATTACCTGTCTTCATCCTACTTCTCTCCAATGATTTATAAAATTTCAGCATATTTGTAAAGGACAACACAAGATTCCTGGTAGACCTACGAACAGTTTATGATAACTCTCTCACAGCATGCAATAAGGCAGATAATCATGAGACAAGGAAAAAAAAGTATTGTCATGGATTAGAAATGTCCATGTATTTAAATGTGTGATAGATGACAAAATGAAAAAAACTGAGATAATTATGCTAGCCCAGACTAGAAAAGATTGAAGTTCCTCAGTCAAAACTTAAAATAGAATAGTAGATAAAATTCAGTGTTGAAAAAATATGCGGCTTATAAACACTGACATATATCATTTGAATTATTCACACACACTGTTAGATTCTAAATTAATTGCTGCCATTCAAGAAAATAGGCGTGTGCTTGTTGTGCACAGCTCAATGAAAAAGTCTGCTCAATAAGTCATGGCAATCAAAATACAAAGGAGGTAAGTGTCATAATGTCATCATATAAATCATTGATGTGTCATTACCTGAAATGCCATGTTCGGTTCTGCTAACCCAGCTCAAAAACAGTCTAGCAGAGGCAAAAGAAGTCCAGAGCAAATCAGTGAAAATGATCAGAGGCATGGAAGACACAGAAAAGACTAGGACTGCTGGTTTAGTGATAACAACAAACACCAGAGAAGTATATAAAACAAAATAAATCAACCAACCACATGAAGAAGATAGACTGGCCAGATTGGCCACATATTTATTTATTTTAATTTACTGAAGTAAACCAAGGGGATGCCAGTTAAAATGAAGGCAAATGATTTCTCACGGGTTCTGTTTTGGGGGGTTTTAAGCCATGATGCATGACCTACCATGGAGTTTACCACTGCAAGGTATCACTGCGGATAAAAGTTTATTGCAATCCCAAAGATTAGCCAGGAATACACATAACAGAAGAATTTATTGTTACATTGAAAAGGTTCCCGATATAAAGACACCTTGTACAAGCCAGCTGTTCTGATTTAATGAACCTTTTTCAAAATAGCTGGTAGTGGCCATTTGGGAGGTAAAGAAATAAAACCACTTGGTGGACCTCTGATTCAATTTACATCTTCTATTCAAATGCAAATTTATATTTGTATCTCAATTGCATTTTTAGTGTTTTCCTGTTCATCTCCAAACACTTTACAAAAGGGGCCAGCACTGTTATTCCCAATTTATCAATAGGGGAAAAGACAGAGAGAAAGGGAGTCAATTTTATCAAATGATCCCATAGGTCAATGGCAAAGCCAGGAATATAATCTTTTTTTCTCTTACCAGGTAGAGACAAACTGGGGCAGACATACTGCCTCTTTAATAGAAAGGCCTCATTAATGAGGTGAAAGATCATAAAACAGCGTTAGGCCAACTAGCCTGTAATAAAGAAACAGTGAATAAGTAGAGAAGAGAGAACCCTATCTGGCCTTCTGTTTTATAGCAGTGAAGCACTATTTTCTGGACCTCTTACTAATATCAAGATGTCAAACTTGTATTGTCATTTAAACTGTAACAGTCCAAGGAATGTTTTTAGGATGCAACTATCTCACTCTGTACAGAAGCTCATGACCCAAAACCTGGATTCAGCTGTTGGTGTTTGAAAGTATATAGCTTCCTATACTGTATTTTGTGTTATATTTTGTTGTACATCAAGAAGTCTATCTTCCAGCACATTGCTCCCTAAATGTAAAAGAAAAATGGCTTACCTTGGCTCCTATGCATACTGTGATACAATCTGACCCAATACTGGGTCAAATCACCGATATAGCATTTTCTAATGCGATTTACACTGCGTTCTCAAGAGAATACTTGTGAGGCAGAAAGCAGTGAAAAGATGACCTTTAATATAAACTGTTCCAGCAGACTTTCAAAAGGAACAGCTTTAACACTACTCAAATACACATGACTAAAAAACTTGGGACAACAAAGATATGCATAAGAGTATATTTAGAAGATACTGGAGAAATCTAACCTGGCCCCAGATTCTTTGTGTATGTCACTAAATCCTCCATAGTCTCCACCACCTCTGCCACAGTTAGATATTCCAAAATTCCCTTGCAGACACGGATGATTTTACGGACCTAAAAAGAAGCATTTAATTATTTAATAGGTCAAGCTAGAAATGCAAGGTTTATTACTGAAAAATAGAACAAGTACAGCATTTGGTAGCAGGGTTAACAAAGATCTGTGTGAGGTTTGGAATCTTGAATTAATTGCTTAGAATTTTTCAGCGACAAAACCCACATACAATCTTCTGTACTCCCAAAACAAACCAACATTTCTGTAATCTGAAATTACACATTCTGTTTCCAATAATCTCACACCTACCTCAAGATCTGAAGGACATCAGGGAAATATGTAAATTGTAAGAAAGTATATTCGACTCTTAGGGCACTAGGGAACATGCTGCACTTCTGTCTTGAAGAAAGACTGTGTTCTAGTTTGTTATTGATGTTTAACGGATAAAAAGAAATTACTACGCAAAACTTCCAGAATGACAGATTCCAAAGTTTTCCTAGGAAATGTTATCCATTAAACAGTTGTGCACATGCAGAATACATTATCCAACATTCCACTTAAAAAGGATGGATCCAACTCTAAAATCTTCCCGAAAAAATATGCATAAGGGGCATTTTATTCTCCTTTTGCCTCACAAGTTTTCTTAACTATGCTTTGAATTAGAAGTCCATGTTAGCCTTTTTACCAATCTGTTTTTAAAACACCTACCGTTTTTACATCATATTTCAGAGTGGTTTTCAACCTTTTTATACTTGAAACACCCCTCAATCAATTCAAGGCACCCTTTGGAAAATGCCAGCTCTTAATTTTCACTGTTGTTTTGGCTACACACAAATAATAGAGTGAATCCTTTGTTGAAATGAACTCAGATCACAACAGATCATAAGGTTTTAACACCATGAATTCCTACGTGAAAAATGGGTTTATCTTGAGAATCAGGTCTGCATACCTAACCATGCTAAAATCATGCAGGACCCCTTATCACCTTTGAAAGGATCTCATGGCACCCTGGTTGAGAATCACTGGGCTAGGAAATAGAGAGCACGTGGCAACACCCAACCTTTTCTGGAGGATTTAACTTACAGCACTGAATTTAAATGAAAAGCTGCCATTGCTGCTGGAAATCTGAACTAATACTCTTTGCAACAGTCCTCAAGCAGTAGCTTCTAATAATGATCTCCAACATTAAGTTTGTTCAATAGATATTAGAATATATTTTTATATTTGTGAGAATAAAACATTCCGGAGTAATAAAAAATATTCCTCTTTTGTTTACCTTGTGCATATTGGAACTGAGCATTTGAAGAAGCATGTAGCTTTAGAGAGGAATGAATTATTTTCCTGAACACTGGAACTATGATTAAGAAAACAAATACCTCACCATGATCATGTCACAGATCACTTTTGAAGTACTCATTAGAACGTTTTCCATCCATCCAAACTGGGCCCTTGTTAGATTTATACATGGAATCCTGGGAACTACTACAAATTAAGTGGATATTAGAGATACTCAGAACTGGGTGTTGCCAGTGTTACAGGGCCTACCTCAGCCTCATCAAAAGTCAGAAGCAAGTCTGATGTTCCAGAAAGTATGCCTCTTGATCCATCAATGAGATAATCACGAGCAGGTACTGAATAAGGATCTGCTTGTAGCATCTGGGCTGCTTGGACAAGTTTAGTGCAGGCATTCTCCACCCTATTTATAACAGTAAAAGACAACAGTTAATGCTTGTTCTAAATACTCTGCAGGAAGGGGGCAGATCTCAAAAGTTCAGGAAGCGTGGCTCTAGAATCTCAATCATTTGTACTTTCATATGCAAAACACCTCAGACCAACCATAGCTAGTTCTACATATTTTGAACTGATTTATGGTTTATTGTGCCCATGTAAACATTTTTTTTCAGTGATAAAATCAACTTCTTTGGAGCTTCATCTATCCAGATAACTTCTATAATCAGGAAGTTCCTGATGCTTCATCAAGATCATCTCCTGGAATGCCACACTTCCTGTAAACAGGTTTCACTTGCTTTATGCGGGTTCTGTATGTGCGAATTCATGCTTATGCAATGACCCTTTTTATACCAAAAATTTGTTGTATGCGAGGTAAATTCACTCCTATGCGATCGGTGTGGTGGAAGCCTGCAGTCAGCTGCTTTGTGCGATGCATTGTGGGAGTGATGCGCACCAAAATATAGTCTCCTGTGTGGATCTGTGCTCCTTGCTCATTGTCTGTGATATGTATTTCTGTAGTTGCCATCCCCATTATGATAGTGCCCTGTGCTGGTGTGTATTGTGCTGTTGGTGAGTACCAAACTTGTCTTGCAAAATTGGTAGAAATGGGTCTGGGAGTTAGTACACTCGAGGTCTTGGAACGTATCCCTATTTGTTACACTGTAAAGTAGGTTCCCTTTATGCAACTTCAAATTATGCATCACCTTCCAGGAACGCATGTACAGCATAAAGCAAGGGAAACCTGTACTATTATGTTCCTAGGAGGACTTAGTCTTTGTTACACAGTCAGCCATGACTGGAAAAATCTTTTTCCTACAGTCTGCCTTCCAAAAATAAGGCGTGCATGTTATTTGGGGACAAATTGTATGCAACAAAATACAGTAATAATAACCAAGCTTCTTCCGACTTAATTCACTAATGAAGATTTCATAGATTCATAGATGCTAGGGTCGGAAGGGACCTCAATAAATCATCGAGTCCAACCCCCTGCATAGGCAGCAAAGAGTGCTGGGTTTAGATGACCCCAGCTAGATGCTTATCTAACCTCCTCTTGAAGACCCCCAGGGTAGGGGAGAGCACCACCTCCCTTGGGAGCCCGTTCCAGACCTTGGCCACTCGAACTGTGAAGAAGTTCTTCCTAATGTCTAGTCTAAATCTGCTCTCTGCTAGCTTGTGGCCATTATTTCTTGTAACCCCCGGGGGCACCTTGGTGAATAAAACCTCACCAATTCCCTTCTGTTCCCCAGCGATGAACT